AACTCGGGGCGCATCGGAGAGGTCCAAGTTCGAGTCCCGGAGAGGGCGTTGCTCAATTTTCACTTCTCCCATATTAAAAATTCCTAATGACTCTACAAACAATCTACGGTGATTTTTATTTCTTACGGTGACGGTGATTTTATAACTACGGTGACTCTTTTTCCAAAGACATTTCTTTCACAGTTGCCTTTTGTTGCTGTTTCTGAAGTTATTCTTTCATGCTGAGCTAATTATTATGATCATTGAATAACTTCTTCAAGTCTTCATTGTTAACTTTTTAGTCTATGGTTTTGTCTAAAGCCATAATATCATAGATGACTAGAAGCGCTTTAATTGTCAAAATGTTCAAAAGTCTCTCTCACCAACCCAATCCGGCCATTATCGCTTTCAGGCCTGAAACTATAGTCCTGTAAATCATTTGATTAATGAGAGTTAAGCAGCAGACGTTACTAAAATGACTTTTTCAGATGTGCCTGAATCTTAAATATGTGGCACAGTTTATTTCAAAATGCCTTTGAAGATCATATTTCCAAGATCAGTGTTTCATAATTCAAGACACCGTTCGTTATCTGAGATCTGAGGCGGGTTTTGTTTCCTATAATTTATTTGGGATTCGAATTATCTGTTAAGTGATGCGTTCATAATCCGAAGTCTCACTGTATTTGATATGATCTTATTAAAATATTTCTTCAGATATCGCAGTTTTAAAAACCAACAGTGCACTGAGTAGTTTTTGAGAGAACAGTCCAAGATCGAAATGAAACAATGCGTTCGGTTTTACTGAAAACTGAGTTTATTAAACATTCGGTCGAAACCTATTCCTTAAATTCAAGATCTGCTTATATTAAAACATGCAATCGGTATCCAGAATACTTCAGATGTGTTACCCTGAAGATTTTCAATAATATGTCTGCCTAGAATTTACTGAGTTATACGACCTATAGTAAGATATATTCAAATTGTGATTAGGTTGTAGAGACTTTGGAAGCAGGCAAGATGAAAAATGAGCAAACGCCTTCGCCGGGAATCAAATCACGGACCTTTGGAATACCGGCCCAGGGTGCAGAACCACTACACCACGAAAATACGCTAGGAAGGCGGGAGAAATACCTTATATACTCCCCCTTTTAAATGGCGACTGGGGTTTAGGGGGCCCAGTCGCCAAATCCTGTAGGTGAAGAATCATCATTCACCACCTTTTATTTCGAGCACCGCTGTAGAGACAGTAGGTTGTTTTTGGAAGCAAAAGAGATGAAAAATGAACAATGCCCTCGCTGGGACTCAAACCACGGACCTCTCGAATACGCCTTGAGCATGCTGACCACTACACTACGAAGGCATCCTAAGAAGGCGGGAGAAATACCTTATACGCTCCCCCTTTTAAAGGGCGACTGGGGATTAGGGGACCCAGTCCTTTGGGTCCCCTAATCCCCGGTTACCCAGAGTCACCAAATCCTCTGGTTGAGGAGAATCATCTTCCAACAGCCTTTTTAGTTCGGGCGCCACTGTAGAGACATTAGGTATTTTTGAAAGCAGGCAAGATGAAAAAATGAGCAAACGCCTTTGCCGGGAATCGAAGCACGGACCTCTGGAATACCGGCCCAGCGTGCAGAGCCACTACACCACGAAGGCACGCTAGGAAGGCAGGAGACATACCTTATAAGGTTTACATTGAAAGTGGAGATTTTTGTTAATTTTAGGAAGTAAGAATATACTATTAAATCGTAGAAATTCTGATTGTATTCCGCTAGGAATCTATTGCAATAGGTACAACACTGACTGTTTTATGCAACAAAATATCTATAAGGAAATATTGATTTTATTGCAGTTCAGCACAATATCTGAATTACTACTGAAATGTTAGGGACCTGAAAGGCTTCGATATCATTAACAATTTTAGAAATTTGTTCATATTTTGTGTAATTTTTCTACATTGGATACTTTTCCTTCTGTATCTGAAATTCAGCGATATCGCCAGTTGTCTGACGTAGGACGTTATCTGAGCTTTCCAACGCTTTCTTGAATTATTTTAAGAGCAAGGGAAAAACAAGTACTTTATGAAGAAAGTTTCCTCTACATGACTGATATCCATCGATTACCTCGTTGCTGCCTGATGGTAGTCATTTGGAAATGAAAGTCTTTTCTTTTTCTTGAAACGCAGTGTACAACTGGTTACTTTGCAGAATATTCTCAGCTCTACTTGAACATACTGTACCGGAATATAGGCGAGATAAATTTAAATTATTATCTGGTGGTAACTCATAAACTAACATGGAATTTCATTGTAAACCTTACTAATTCAGATAAGGAAGGTATGCATCAACGAAAACCCTTTTTTACAATTAAATTTTGAAATTATACATTCATCTTAAATCTGATCGATATTGTGGTTAGTGATGTTGGCTGCAATATCATTTAGCTTGTACTCGAATTCCGGAGGAGGTATATATACCCCTTGTGCAAAATTAAGAGAATTTGCAATTTTGTCTTTTTTTACAAAAGGTATTTAATAAAAGGTAGTAATTTTGCTGCCGAAGAATTATGCGAAGATTCAGAGGTGAATACGTAAATGTATAGTTGCATGTATGCGAAGCTGGGTTTGTGAAGGGGATAAAAAGCGCACGAAGGTTTTCGGAGATTTGTGTGCTCATACTTCTTGACATATTCGCCCTGTTTCTCGCAAGAGTTGGGGGAATTTTGAAACTATCAAGTAAACTGAGTAAGTAACGAACGTACGAATGACGGAATGAGATGGAGAACTGCCGTCGATTTAAGGCAGACAATCGCAAGTGCACGAAGCTACACAGCTCAATGTAATGCCCAGTGCCTTCTGAAATTTGTGGAAACAGTTTTAGGACAGTGGATCCATATCGAGAAAACCTGGACGAGGTCGACCAAGATACACAATGACGAATGAGGATCGTTATTTGTCATTTTCAGCACAGCGATACAGGACTGTTGCAGCTCCACAGTTCTCACGTGATCTGAATGCTGCTACTGGAACCCGGAGTTCACGCTGTACAGTTGCCCGAAGACTTCATGAGACAGAGCTGTATTCGGGAAGACCCGATATTTTCTTCCCTCTCACTGAAGCTCACGAGAGCGCACAAGAGAGTACACAAGCATAGTAAGGACGCTTTAGACCATATTTCAGTGGAGCCCCAAGCTTTTATAGATGAGCTGAGATTCAGCCTGGACACTGATTCTCGGCATATTTATAACTGAAAAGAGCCTGAATACCACTCCTCCCTTATCAGAGAAAATGATTATTATTGTGGTGTAAGTGTAATAGTCTGAACAGGTAATATGCTGGGTAGGGTGTTACATGCGCAGTGGAAGCACACCCCTGCACCTGTTTTGTGTTTGACAAAAACTGCATTATTGCTACGAGATATAGAGAGGAGATCGTAGAGCCTTATGTTCGATTTTTCAGGGCGCAGTTGGTCTTGGGTTCCTGTTAAAGATATATGTCGTCCACACAGGGTTCAGTGGTCGACGATTACATGGAAAGTGAAGGTATTCGCCACATTAGATTGGCCGACCAGATATCCTGGCCTTAGACCTGTAAAGTATGTCTGATACGCTCTTGGAAAGGCAATATCATCTCGCCATTCCCCTCCGAGAACCATCTCGGATTTGAAAACTGCTTTACTGCAGAAGTGTGATGGACTGCCACAAGAACTCTCCAGCTCTCTTCTGTCAAGTATGTCGTCACACTGCTTGATCTACCTGGTTGTGAGAGGGGATCGTATCCCATATTAGACTCATTTCCAGTTCGATATCACAACGTGGATTTTGGACATTCCTACACTGTGAGTTTTACTGATATCATGTGTAACTAAAATGACTTTTGAAAAATACAGATCTTTCTCTGTTATAACTGTACTTTCGAACCGAATTTCATAAAATTCTGGCCATTAATATTTCAGAAATTCGACATGTCTTACGCATCTGTAGAAGCAGATTCTTTAACTTTTGAACAGGAGTGTATATTTGTAAATATTTAATATCTTCATGAGGAAGCTGAAAGTCTTCTCGAGTGGTCTGGTAATAAGAAAAATAGGATAGGAGGCTCTTAAATGTCTCAGGGCATTCTCCTTCACCTATAAGGTGCCGTAAGCCCATGCCAACTACAGACGCAATCCTAGATTCCTCGCCACAATACATTTCGTGGCTGTGTTCTTAATGTTACTACAGAATAAGTCAAAACAACAGCATATTAAGTAGACTATTTTAATTCTTAACAGGTTTCAAACGTGTCGAGAAATTTGAAAACCTGAAATTATTTGTAATATATTGTGACTTTTAGAGAGGTTCATTTTGCCTCTTTTATTCAATGGAATGCTATGTACTTTAAATTCAATAAAATTTAATCTTCCTGCTTTGGAGCTTCTTCCTAATTCTGTGATTGCTTTAGTATATACTGAAATTTTGATCCATTGTTAATACGAGTTTGCTATCTTAAATCATCCATTCCCCTAGGAAAATTGCATTTTAATGTGATATTACCGGTATAGTTACATTATGTGACACTGTATGCTTCAAGCATAACGTTAATAATAGAATTCAAGCTCGGATTGCAGGCAATATTTCAAATTCGGATATGAGGCATATACAGCATTATATTTACCTCACATCCGAGCTTGATATCTAATGAATCTTTTCTATTAAATGCCAATTAAATTTAAAATAAAACAACACATCAAAAATAGTGCTCTACATGAGATGACGTGAAATTCAGTGAATACTAGTGTATCAGAAGCTTTTTCTATTCTCAGATATAATATATAAACTTTATGATTCGAAATCTACTATTTTCTCTTGCTACAATTATATAAAACTGGATTATTTATAGCTAAAAGTGTTCACACATTATTTGAAAAGAGTTTTTTAATGTTTTTGAAATAAAATATTTGCATGAAATAGACTGAATCCATGTATTATTGAAATAATTTTCATCTTCTTCTTACAACTGATTACTTGAATGTTTTTTTTCATAGATCTCCTTCTGAATAGTGTTTGCCTCACAAGAGCCAAAGCCGTCCTTGAAAATTGTTCCAGTCTAGGATTCGAATGGGTCAAAACATGGAAAGAAGTGTTACGCATGCAAGTCGATCCTGTGGATCGGTGTCGAGGATTGAATGCTTATCGATCTTGTATTGCTAACAAGTTACATGACGTGATCTGTGGACTGGAAGCTATTCGCATTTATGGTGGGCTTATTGATGTGTGGCTTCGAGAATGGTGCAACAAGGATTCGACTTCTGAAAGGGATTTGTCATATTTGTACCTGTCTGCCAAAGGTACTGGATGAATGTTCCTGGTGTATTGTTTGCAAGAATGAAGACAATGTTGCAAAAAATAAAATTATCAGATTTATTTTTACTTTTATTTCTATTTATTGCATTTCCTGCTTAAGACACTCTTGATTAGTTAGTCACGAAGAACATTTCCATTGAGAGAAATAAATAATAATCTCTATATTTCAATTTTCATAGATTTTTCTCTTTTGTAAGAGAAAAATTTAAGTAGTCTGAAATTAACTTATTTGCTATTTTTGATATAAAACTGAGTTTTAAAATAATTAAGAATGCATAGGTAAAAAGTCATTTTATTTTTTATTGTTTTATTATTTTCATGGTAATAATTTGTGATTTGTGGAATAGAACTTCATGATGTACCTTAAGATTCCTTTTTTTATTAACCCGAGACTATTTAGCGTAATACTTATTTCACTAGAAATCCAATTCAGAAGGTACAGTAACAGAATTACTATAACTCTTCTCCATTTAACCAATAATGCGAAATTATGTAGTATATTGAAGTCTGATATTTCCGAATCAAAATGTACAATAATTTATCTAAATAGCTTTTGCATTTTAATGATTATTAAAAAGAAGGTTACAGTTATCAAAATATAGTCCCTTTGACGTTTTAAGTAGCATATACATCAGTTAAAAAGATGATAAAAAAGATCTTGAGGAAGATATAAATTTGGACAGAATTTCTAATCAAAATTTTTTGTGTCAAATATATCCCACAAGCACGTTTATTATATTAAGAATTTTTTTTTTACTTTGGTACTTTCTTTTAATACTTCTCTGGCCTGGGTTACTCATATAGTTCTGATAATCTATTTGAACCAATATGTACAGGGTGATCTTTTTTAAAGTGACAGTGTTTGGAGCACCCTGTAGCGCGATCTAATAGACGAAATGGTACCAAACTTGGTATTTACACTAATCAAGACATGGGACATCAAGATATACAATCGTACAGTTCAATTATTAATGTTCATTTACTACATTAACTTCCCCGGTGAGGAATTAGACCACATTCAATGTGAACACCGTTCTCAGAAATAACACCGTGCATTCTGTGCACAACGTTCTCCACAGCCGTATGTAACATATCACGAGGAATATTCCGCACTGTCTTTGTTATGTTGTCCTTTAGCATAGACAAATTTGGTACACCACCAATTCAAATAACCCCAGAGCCAAAAATCGCATGGCGTGAGGTCAGGGGAACGAGGCGGCCATGCAACTGGAAAACTGCGACTTATGACTCTATCATCAGTGAAGTTTTGGCGCAACAGCTGCTTTACCTTATTACTAATGTGTGGCGGAGCATCATGATGCATAAAGATTGTCTGTTGGAGACGGTTTCTTTGCTGAAGTTGTGGAATAAGAAACGTTTGCAGCATTTCGTGGTACCTTTTTGCATTTATGGTGCACGTTTGGGGTCCTGTCGGAGTGGTGGTCTCAAAAAAGAATGACCCAATTACGAATTCATCTGTTAAATCACACCAAACAGTGACTTTTGGGGAATTTAATGGGATTTCGTGCAAGGTGTGGGGCTGCTCAGAAGCCCAAATTCGGCTATTTTGTCTGTTTACCGGCCCATTGAGATAAAAATGGCACTCATCTTCCCACAGAATGTGCCATGGGAAAGCATCATTAATTTCTACCCTGGCAAGAAACGATAGAGCGAATGTCACTCGCTTATCATAATCACTTGGCTTCAGTTCGTGCAAGCGGCTGATTTTGTAGGGGTAAAAATCCAATAACGCGCCGCAAAACTCTCCATACCGTGGAATAATTTATGTCCATTGTCGAGCTACACTCCGGGCGCTGCTAGTACCAGCAATGGTTCCCTGCGATCCTTCGACAATTGCAGTTGCCACATCAGTTATTACTTCTTCTGATACTGGTTCACGTCCTATCCCAGCGCGAATGGTCAGTGATCCCGTTTCCCCGAAATTCTTAATTATTTTCTTTAGACCATTCAGCAATAAAGGCCCCTTTGGTAATTTTTTTCTGATTCGAAACTTCCGAAAAGGTGAGGATGCATTACATTGATTCATGTAATACAGCTTCACCAGTAACTCACGTTTCGGTAACATGAGAGGCATGTCCACTGCAGCTCATTTACTTCAGCTGAGATTATTTGTCGGAGATGTCTGCTACTCGCTTTTATAGCCCCTATTACTGGCGCTGTCATCGCACAACATTTGCATTTTTCTTTGATACCCCTGTTTTATGCTAATTCTCGTTATTGTAAGCTACAGCAGCGCTACAAAATGCCCTAACGGCGATTTTTGGAACTAAAATTTTTTTTCACGGAATCCTTTTTCCCATGTCTTGATTAGTCTAAATACCAAGTTCGGTTCCATTTCGGCTATTAGATCGCGCTACAGGGTTTCCAAACACAGTCACTTTAAAAAAGATCACCCTGTAGTTGTAATAAAACAGCAAAGTTTGATGAGATCGATATCAGTTAACACTTTGGAATGATAATTTATTTTTATTGGCAATAATTGTGAGTTTAAAAATATCTTGAGGGATATTGTTTTAATTTTATAAAATCAGTTTAACCTGGTCAGAATTTTCTACGATTGTATTAAGCAAATTATATCTCCGTTTTGTTAACTCCAACTAAATGCTATGCCAAATGCACGCGTAAGCATGATTGAAACTGATTACATTTAATGGTCTGTGATTCACAAAATGAAAATGTTTATCGACATTTTCAGTACAAATTAATATAAGCCTTACTACGAAACTACCTTCTCATGTACGCAGGGAATCTCAAACTAAAATCCTGCTTAAGCTTCTTTCATCAGCTGAACAAGATATTAATAGAATGCAGGGTTTTTCTAAGTTCATGGGGCAGATTTTAAAGATTAAAGGAACTCACTAAAAGTATTTTTGATAATACATGTGTAATTTCAACTAAATAAGAAATATCAACAGCGAACATCAACCGCAATATGAGACTAATAATGTCGGCTCACTGATTATCACAGAATCTCGGCGATAAGTACATAAATTTACATGCATAGATTTAAAATACGCTTATCTACATTTGTACGTATACATTGCATATAGATTTAAAAGTTTTCGCTTTCACGTATAAAAATTGCTTGGAATAAATTTCTTTAGTAAACATGTAGCGGCAATACTGAATGATTGATTTTGAAAATTTCGTTAGAAGAATTCATATGCGTTCTTCTTTCATTGTTTTCTGAATGAAACAATATGCTAATTTTTTTTAAAGTTTAAAACTGAGTATCGTTCTGTGATTAAATGTTTGATTGAAGAAGGTCCGAAAGAAATCAAACATCTCTTGGATGATTTATTTGCTGATTTGTTTCCTTCCCATTTTACAAACAAAGAGTGAGTAAAGCTATTTCGCCATGAGCGAAGAATCCTTTAAAAAAGATTTTCTTTCAAGGTTGAATATTGGAGTTATTACCGTCAAAAAATAATGGCTGTGTCTAGCAGGGAATATAGAGTGATAGGAGATTAAAAGCCAAGGAGATAGCAACAAGATTGGACCTATCTAAAGCAAATGTTTTGTGTGTTCCGTATGAACAAAGTCTCTGGAAGATAGATACCTGATTTCTTTCAGCATTTAAAAACAGCAACGTGCCAATGAAATTCAAAAACAGACAGTCAACCTCCAGCTGCGATGCAAATAGGCTGGCTATACAATATATTTAAGGAACTTGACCCCCCCCTTTTAAAACTAAGATGATTAACATTCCAAGTGATTAACACGTTGAGTGCCACGCACAGAAATATCCTTGGGATATTTCAGAATGAATATAAGAAAACTTCGACAATGTGCCCATCATATGCTTGAAAACACATGGAATATCCAAATGTCCGTCTGATTTCAAATATCAAAAATATTCCATATCCGAAAGAAATCAAACTAATGTTATGGATATTCTTTTCATGTTCTTGGACTATTCAGAAAATTTACTCTAAAACCAAAATCAAATCTGTTACCTTGTCAAAACTTAAAGATTTTCTTTGGACATGAGTAAGAAAAAACATGACACTTCACTCCTTTTCTAGACTTTTTTAAGAATACAGCAAAGATTTTGTGTGGAACAGTGTTGTAGAACATTCCCATGAAATATACCTGGAAAGTTTCAGACGTATTTCATCATTATCCGTAACATTAAGTAGCATTAGTAGTGGATGTATTCATAACATTAGTAGAATATTCCAGATTGGAATATTCTGCTAAGCTACCAGAATTTTGGAATATTCTACCAATCTATCAGAATACTGCAATATTCTACTAACCTATTAGAATATTGTAATATTCTACAAATCCACTAATAATTAATTGGAATATTCTACTAATCTACTAGAATATTGTAATATTCTACAGATCCACTAATAATTGAATATTCTACTAATCCACCAATGTTTAATTGGAATATTCAAATAAGCTACCAATCTTACAAGTTCGAATATTTTACTAATCTACTAATGTATGGAACATTCTAGGGCTATTCTTCAATAATCATAAAATATTCCCTTCAGAAAAGTCTGAAATAGTTTACATCGCTTGCGAATGTTCCAGAAATGTTGTTTGTTGATGTGGAATAAAAATAAAATACTTCTGGAATATTTAGCGTTGCATGGTGCAAAAAAAATATAAACGTTTGGTGAATCTTCGGATTATGGCAACTTGGCGATTTTTTGGCGAAAATTTGGCGACCAACCCTGCTACAGCAACCTGCTAGTTTTTTTTGGGGGGGGTGGAAACGCTATTTTGTTTTCACGAAATAAAGGCATTTTTTTTTAACAACGTTTTTTCCAACAATCTACTAGCCGAATTACGCTTATGCTAGAACTTTTATGGAACAAACGTGCTTAATAATGACGAAGATTAGGCGCGAAATTGGGAGAAAGTGCAGAATCGCCCACTGCCTAGCATGTTTTTAAGAATTTCTCGTACGCGGTATCCATGTACACGTCGACCTATTTTCACTTAAAATATAAACATCCCAGAATTGCACAAAAATGGCATTGCGCACACTCTTTACTTTATCCATGTACACATCGACCTATTTTCACTTGAAA